ATCAGATGAATGCTATATTTTAGTGATAGGTAAAAGATTGTAATTCATTTATGATTTGAGCTATCTATAATCAGTTTTAGGCTTTATTTGTTCAGAAATGTATCATCGTCAATATTATATTGCTCAATATTGGGTTGTTGACCAAAAATATTTGGCTTAATTTATACCCCACTTAATCCAATAAATGATGCGATAAATCCTATACATTTTTTGAGCTATCTTATCGGTTATAGGCTTAATTTGTTCAGAAATGTATCATATACAATACATTCATGTATAGCTAAATATTGGGTTGTTGACCAAATAAAATAAATGGGGTTAACTTTTTACCCCCCACGTTACAATAAATGATCCAGTGAATACTATATTGCACTGATAGATAAAAGAATGTTGTTTGAGCTATCTAATCAGTTATAGGCTTTATTTGTTCAGAAATGTATTATCTACAATATTATATCAGTAAATGTAAGGTTGTTGACCAAACAAATTATTTGAAAGACATCAGTCTATTTTATAAACTCTGATGTCTTTTAACCCACCTTACCCTTTTTGACGCTATATATATATCACATAGTCCATATCATCTATTTGTTATCTCTTTTATAATTTTAACCCCTTTTTATTTTTATTATCTACACATACAATGCGAATGCTTTTAAAATGAACCTTTTTATCAGCCCATAACGTAAAAAAGTGACGTCGCCGTTTGTAACGTTGCTTTTGATTGGCTGATACAGCCGCGTAATAATTTCTAAGAGAAAAGAGTTCATCAATAAAAGTGAATTTTCACAGGGATTGTGTATAGTAGATTAAATTATAAGGATTGACTTGATTATATTTTTTATGTTATGGAGCTATAACACAAAAAAAACGAAGTGTACTCTCATCATAAACCTAATCATAATGATCTAAATCAACATGGTCATTTTACAACATAAACTCAGGACCAATGAGAACCTATATATTAAATTTGAGAAAAGTTCCTCTAGTAAATTCTGATAAATAGCGATAACAAACTTAAACTGTAACAAGATGGGCGGCCGATATGATTGGATATACATAACTAAGAACAAGAGGTGAAATATGAGAAAGATACATTTTGAGTAATAGGGCTGAATATTTTACTCCCAAATTCAATACGATCACTTGCCAGCCATCTTGATTTCCCAATCATCCCCAAAATTTGAAATGCGGAACCAGGAACAATTGGGAACTTTCATGTAAATTTTGAGAAAGACCTCCTCCAGAACTTTCAGAAAAACAGCGCTAACAAACTAACTCTCAAATTAAAGATGGCTGCCTGTCGGCCATTTTGGTTTTGTGGTCAGTCCACAAAAATTATATACATAACTAAGGGTCATGGGGAACTTTCATGCGAAATTTGAGAAATATCCCTCAAATATGTTCTGGGCATGGCACGAACAAACTTTAACTCTAAAATTCAAGATAGCTGCCTGTTGGCCATCTTGGTTTTCTGATCAGTCCCAAAAAACAATATGCATAACTGCGGATCATGGGGAACATTGAAGTGAAATTTTAAAAAGATCTCTCTAGTACTGTTTGAAGAACAGTGCTAGCAAACTTTAACTCTCAAGATGGCTGCCTGTCGGCCATCTCGGTTTTGTGATCAGTCCCAAACAAGAGGCCCTATGGGCCTGCATCGCTCACCTGTTATTAATCTAACACTTGTAATCTTAAGATTTCATAAGAACCTATTAAAATATTTAAACATATGACGCCTCTAACCTTGATTGTCGAACAAGGACATTAGGTTGAAAGTGGATCAAGGTCATTCATTTGAACTAACATGGTAGTCCTTCATCCCAGCATGCTACAGGCCCAATTTCAGTACCCTGGCCCTTTTGCTTATTGAAAAGAAGTCGCTTGAAGATTTTACGACATTTGACCCCTGTGACCTTGAAAGTTGGTCAAGGTCATTCATTTGAACAAACTTGATAGTCCTTCATCCAAGCATGCTACAGGCCCAATATCAGTACCCTGGGCCTTTTGGTTATTGAGAAGTTGTTTGATGATTTTACGACATTTGACCCATGTGACCTTGAATATAATTGAAGGTCATTCATTTGAACAAACTTGGCAGCCCTTCATCCCAGCATGCTACAGGCCCACTATCAGTACCCTGGGCCTTTTGGTTATTGAGAAGAAGTTGTTTGAAGATTTTAGACATCTGACCCCAGTGACCTTGGAAGTTGGTCAAGGTCATTTATTTGAATAAACTTGGTAGCCCTTCTTCCCAGCATGCTACAGGCCCAATATCAGTACACTGGGCCTTTTGGTTATTGAGAAGAAGTTGTTTGAAGATTTAAGACATCTGACCCCAGTGACCTTGAAAGTGGGTCAATGTCATTCATTTAAACAAACTTGGTAGCCCTTCATCCCAGCATGCTACTGGCCAAATATCATTATCCTAGGCCTTTTGGTCACTGAAAAGAAGTTGTTTAAAGTAAAAAGTTGACGCCGGACAGACGGACGCCGGACGCCGCATCATGGCATAAGCTCACTTGCCCTTCGGGCAGGTGAGCTAAAAATGATGTGCATAACTGGGGACGATGGGAAACCTATCTGTGAGATTGGGAAAATATCCCTAAAACGCTTTATGAGAAATAGCGCTAACAAACTTTCATTCTCAAATTCAAGATGGTTGGCTGTCCGCCATCTTGTTTTTGCGATCAGTTCCAAAATAAGATATGCAAAACTAGGGATCATGGGGAACCTTCATATTAGATTTGATAAAGATCCCTCTAGCACAATATGAGAAATAGTGCCAACAATCTTTTACTTTCAAATTAAAGATGAAAAAATTAAAAGACATCCTGTCCGCCTTTAAAAATCTTGTTGGTTGCAATATTGATACAGAAAAATAAAGCCAGTGTTTTGTTAGAAATCATTTAATCACCTTACATTGTCATACATCAACACAAAATACACGTACAGCTAAAATATAACGTCAATCTAAAATCATTTAATCAACAAAAATTTAAACAGTAATATGATGTCATTGAATTTTTCAATTGATTGACATATAATATCGATGTGCAGTAACCAGTATGTTATGATTTTGTTATACAATAATTATGATGAATTCTGTGAAAATAACGAACAATTTAACAAAAAGCCACATTTACTGACGATGAAGACCATGGAATGCAAGAATGGAAGAGTTAAATATTCTGTATGTTAACTCATCAACCCTGGAGACACATTTGAACACTTCCAATTCAAAGGTTGGAATAGATAATTATGAAATTTCAGAGGTGAATTACTTAATATTTCACAGGTTATTAAACATGCCTTATTTATTGAATATGAAAGTTCCTAAGCTGATATTGCAGGTAGATTTGTTTACTTAATACAAAACTAACCAAGTAACTGAGCCTTAGTTAGCCTCTACATCTACATGATTGCAGTCTTGCACAAGATCTCTCTACCTTGCACCCAACAGCTTTGGAGAAACCCTGCTTAAGCTAGAGAATCTGTTTACAAGGCGAGAGGGACTATCAAGCCCTTGTCAAAGGGAGATTACTCAAGTAAATTTGTATTTCTTTTGAAGTCTAAGATATAGCCAAAAATAAATTCAAAACTCAAGATTTACCATTTTCCTGATTCTCTGTCTCTTTAACCCTTTCACCCCTATGCAACTTTAGCAGACTCTCCCAATGCATTGATTTGGATGAGTCCAGTATGGTCTACAGTGGCGAAAGGGTTAAAACAGTTACTTTTTGACCACCCTGATTTTACATTTTTTCTTTATATCCTATGGTATTGGTCTATTGGATAGATGTACCAGCAATATGTGTTGTCATTGTTCTCCAATTGATGTACTGTATATTGCACAAACAAACACACACAGAGTTATGTAAATTAGCTAATGAATATGAGGTTAAATGAATATATCAATTAGTTGTCTCCCCTGACTTCTCTGATATTGATTGTCTAGCTGATCTTATAATTAATCATCTGTTCTAGTGTCGTCATTAATGCATCTTTCCTGTACCTTAATTAAAAATTGTTCCTCCTAAAGATCCCTGTATGGATTGAATTACCTAGAGGAGAGAAATTTTCAAAATTTGTTTTTGATTAAATATGCAATATATTTAATAGACACCAACTGTGTTCCTAAATATGATACAAGCATGAAATTTTATCTCAATCTCAGCAAACAAATACCACCAGGATGTTTTTAACTGTTAGATCTTGCCTGTATCATATTAACTCATTCACCCCTGAAGACACAGTTAAACCCTTCCAATTCAAAGGTTGGAATAGTCCATTATGAAATTTCAGGAGTAAATGAGTTTAACAGATTACGCCTGAAGCATATCTAATACAACTAAATATCAAATTTCTCTTTTAATCAAATTCATCTCTATCTTACTTATACATAAGTATAGAAGTCAATCGCAACAAGCTCCCTAACCTTCGATCGCCCTGCATACTGGGTGGTATCCGGGCAAGGGATAAGGTAACGACCTTGGTTCTATCCCTGGAACTATGTTACTTTTACCTTTGTATCATCTCTATCCTACTTATACATAAGTATAGAAGTCAATCGCAACAAGCTCCCTAACCTTCGATCGCCCTGCATACCGGGTGGTATCCGGGCAAGGGATAAGGTAACGACGTTGGTTCTATCCCTGGAACTATGTTACTTATACCTTTGTATCACCTCTATCTTACTTATACATAAGTGTAGAAGTCAATCGCAACAAGCTCCCTAACCTTCAATCGCCCTGCATACTGGGTGGTATCCGGGCAAGGGATAAGGTAACGACGTTGGTTCTATCCCTGGAACTATGTTACTTATACCTTTGTATCACCTCTATCTTACTTATACCTAAGTGTAGAAGTCAATCGCAACAAGCTCCCTAACCTTCGATCGCCCTACATACCGGATGGTATCCGGGCAAGGGATAAGGTAACGACGTTGGTTCTGTCCCTGGAACTATGTTACTTATACCTTAATGTATCATCTCTATCTTAAAAAAATCTACCTATACCTTAACAAATCTTCCATGTTGTATTTTAATAAATCTCAACTACACCTTAATTATTAAATCTCAACTTAATCTTGATTTTATTTAAGCATTGGATTGTACCTGTATCATACCAATATGTAACGCATGTGTCTGTAGGACCAGTGAAAACACAACCCTTCAAGTTCCATTCTAAGTTATAAATACTGTAGTATATATATAGTTTTGTTTATTAGTATATTTGTACATAAATTATTATTGTATGTTAAGACAGGATTAATCTTAAACTGAAATATATATGTCATCAACATACATGTACCCTGTTATACAAGTATTGACCATTTTTATTCTGCTGCATTTGTTTTTTACAAAAAATGAAAAAAAATCAATTCTAAGACATATAATTACCAGGTAATGTAATTTTCATGTGATATTTTCACAGTTATCTTCAGATAAACTGAACCTGCTAATTCAAAACAACAATAAACATTTCTAGTACAGTACCATGACAATTTAACAATCTAAAAACCATGAATTGAATACTAATCTTGTACTTTCTCTCTTATAAATACCTAATGTACATGAAAAAAGCCACAAAATCAATCCAATACACTCTGTGACACGGCTTTATTTACTACTTACAACATCGTAACAGGTCAGGCGTAACAAAGCCACCTAACAGATGTCTTTTATCAGATTCCACTCTACATACAGTATTTGAAATTGAATCACACGGAAAAACTCAAATATTTATTATTAGTATCTAGTATCGACAGAAAAGCAATAGACTTTGAAAACATGAACATGGAACATTTATACGATAATCCCTCACATAGTCTTCATCTATATAATATGCAGGTCCAAATATATCACCTTATACAAATCTACTGGAAATATATAATATATAATAAACATGGGTGGATGAAAATATATCATTTTTATATCACAACATAACACCAAGTTCATTGAACCAGTTCTTATATGATCACATGATAACTCTTAACAACATATACAGGATTTAGGTAATTCAGTTTCTTAATAGACTACAAAGCTTAAACATGATGCTGTGTATGCAAGAAAAAAGTATGGAATACAGACTGGAACATAGATACGAAAGAAGTCGAAAAGTTAGCTCAAAGATTTTGACAGCGAGACAATACGTAAATTTGAGAAAAATAAAATGTGAAAATGTATTTGTGGTTCAAGCTCATCATTTAGAAGCCTTCTTATCCTTTATACCTGTCCACTCTTCAGTCTCATGCTTATAAGATAATATAGATAATTGAAGAAGGTACAAGAAGTAACTTAATATTACAGTAAAAAAAACACTCACTGTAAAAGCATTTCAATTAAGGAAATATTTCTACAGACAAAAAAGTTACATAAAAGGAATGATATGCTAGGCCAAGGCCTGAATATATTACCCGACACAATAAGTCACTTTAGGCGAGAAAACAAACAATTAATTCCTTGAACAAATGTTAAGGAATTCAACTTTTGCTGTGATATAATAAACATTTTGTGTTATCAAAATAAAACTCACAAGAATTAATTGTAACCATATCTGTATCTCGCATCGATTTGAAAGCACATTACCACCAGTATCAAATTACTTTAGAATGCTGGAGCTGTAAAATATTATGAACCGGAACATATAACTTTTGAGTTGTCAGAAATACAGGAGAGTAAATTTTAAATCTTATTTGTAAATTTCTCCTCATCATCCAAAGAAAAGTCCAAGAGGGCCTGCATCACTCATCTGGATAGTTATAAGCAACTATGATAAAATATTCTCATTTAATATATAATACACAGCAAATATTTTCACAATATTGAACATCGGAGCGAATTCAAATTTAAACCTTTCAAATGCTCAAACACCCAAAGTATCCTGTTTTTAGCCCTTCCCCTATCGGGAGCTACACAGAAAAACTCACACCGGGATATTCCACACTCATCAGGCCATGACAGCTAACTTAAAGACCATCATATAACATTCTGCAAAGCTCCTTATCAATATTTTTTCGATATTTCATAGATTCCACAAAAACTTTTAATTCAGAGGGACTTTTTTTTATGTGGTTTCATCTATATAATATGATAAGAAGGCAGTTTTAACCCTTTCACTCCTTTAAAACTTTAGTAGACTCAACCATGCATTGATCTGGACAAGTCCATTATGGTCTACAGTGATCAAAGGGTTAAGTATTCTTAAAAAAGACAGATCTTTTGCAGGATATAGACTGCGAAAATTAAAATCATATGAAGAATAGATGATTGGATGATGCATGCTGAATTTTGTCGCAATTCCTGTAATCATTCTGTTTTTGAAAGGAAACGTACCGCTGGAAGCCAGATGGACAACAGACAACAGAGGTTGTGCCATAGCAGGTGAACTTAAAATATTATGGTGACACAAGGTATGTATTGCAGATTTAGTGAATATGCACGGGCCCAGCTTTAATGCTCAACCAATTGTAATATATAATATCTACTTAGCCATAATCACAACAATACATTCTTTTAAGTCAGACTTAAGGCACTGTACCAGTGCTTGCTGTATATATTGAATCTGTTAGGACTGGATACCGGTAGTTACATGTCATCAATGCAAAAATACATACATGATTTCTATCATAATTACAATATATTAAGGCCTTTATATAACCCCATTCCTACAACATAAAAATTAGGGTATACGTATGTACTATACACTTATCCAGCTTGGGGGACAAACATTTAATCTCTGACTCCAATATATAGGGGCGTTGAGCTTATCACAGGATTCGTCAGCTGGATAACTTAACCACTCCGTAGTGAAGCGGACGTAAAACCAATCAATTAATCAATCAATTATTACAGGACTATAAAATATCATCTGTTTGATTTTCTACAGAACTGCAATAAATATGGTTGGGCTTATCCCTATCACCCCTATGTAACTTTAGTAGACTCTACCATGCATTGATCTTGAAGAGTCCATTATGGTTTACAGTGGTGAATAAGGGTTATTGCCGGATATATACGGTATGTATATCTGAATCAATTCAAATTCCTGGTTCCTTATACTGTGGTTGTTTTGTAACTTGGGACTGTTTCCTGCCTTTTCATTACGTCACGCATTATAGGCAAAACTTGCCTCTAACTGCACTTATTGTTAGATTTGTTAAATTTACAGGTCAAATGCAATTCTATATATATTTCCTGAAAAAAAAACTTATTCTACAGACATCAAGTGGAACAAGCAAGGGTCAAATACAGACACATACACACTGGATTGTTTGGGACGAGACATCTTTTTCGGGAAATATTTATGTTTGCTTTACATAAGAAAGCAAATGCTGAGTAAATGAGGTAGACTCATTGATATTGGTTAGAAATGTATCTTAATCACCTAAAAATAGACTTAAGCAAAAAAGCAGACAGTAGGTTTAGGATATATATGATACCTTAATCAATTAATGGGAGATAACTCTAACACAAATCACAGGTTCAGTAAAATGCCTTTTACTGGTAATTTCAGCATCACTTTCTGCCAGCATCTTTTAAGGATTCCTTGATAACTTTTGTACCTTTGTCTTGATACATTTCATCAAATACATTTCTGATGCCAAATTCTGTTAGACAAACAGTGTATACATGACTGAATTTTACTGTACTCATATTTGTGATCACTGCCATTACATTGCTAAGAATTTGGAATGTTTTTCTCAAATTGTGATTAAAACAGCAGGCACAATAATTAAAACAAAAGATATGGAGTCCCAAAAAAAAATTAGGAGTCAGCCTTTTTCTGAATTATACTTGGCTTGTTATTTAATTGGTCTCAGGTAAAAGAACCTGACCATTTAGACTGATACCTGTCCTTTGAAGATTACAGAGGAGTGACACCCACATTCAATGCCAGTCAATTTTACAGGACTGTGATATTCTTTTGATGTACATAAAAAGATCAAACTAGTCACACTGAGCCTTCAGGTTTTCTGACATAATCCAGGGGTTTGTGCTCTCTAGAGAACAAATGTTAGGGTAACCCCTGGAGTACCGAGGATACAATAAGGTATCCTATATCCTTGCTGACTGTAAAGTGTGCTGCAGGAATGTGTAAGCAAGGCCATCCTTTACATAAGAATGTGTAACAGTACAAGTTACATATTTAAATATATGTATTGATTAATTTGACACATGGCAAGTGGTTTTTTTTTTATAAGGTTGTTTATTGACTCCAATTCCTATAAAGGGTTCGTTAGGTTCGATTAACAAGAGCTATCGATAAAAAATGAGAATTTAATTAACACCACACAACACAATCTTTAAACATTTTTTCTTGTTGCTTGTCTTAAAAGTACATTATATGGTAAAGAACCTGAGCTTCTGATACAGTCAGATCAGAAGAACCAAATTTTTATTAAAATATGTAGGGAATTCCTATAATGATAAGACTATGATATATTTATACCATGTATATATATAATGTCATATACACATTCAAATTCAGTATGTTTGGTGATTGAGCTTTTAGGCCAAAACAATTGTATATTGTTTATTTTTCCTTCACAAACCCAACCAGTAAATATCCACAAATATTTAAAACGAGATCTCAGAGGAATCTTGGTGCCCACCATCGTACCATTGGTTCTATATGTTAGGTCGATCTCTTCTCTTCTTTTCTCCTATCTGTTATTGTGTCATGTAAACAGTTAATGCACCATGAGGTAACCTTTGATTTTAAACTTCATACTAATGTGTATGAAAGCCAACCTTCAAAGTGAGTTTGTCTTTTCACATATTTACTAGTACAGTACTTAACGTGAAAGAAATAGAACCGATCATTGCACTAGGAGAAAGATCTGTTAAGTATTTCCTTGGAAATAGTGAGGATATTCTTGAAATGTCAAAATCCAAGATGTGGTCATCTTGTTTTTGCAATCAGTCTCAAATAACACATGCACAATTCTGAACCAAATGGAACCTTCATATGAAACTTGGGAAAGATTTGTGAAGTACCGGTACTTTTTGAGAAATAGCGATAACAAACTTTAATTCCCCAAATCCACCCATGTTGTTTTTCCAATCAGTCTCAATATGAAACATGCATAACTAGAGACCAAGAGACCATCATATGAAATTTGAGAAAGATCGTCGAAGTACCGGTACTTTTTGAGAAATAGCGATAACAATCTTAAATCCAAGATGGCTGCCTGGCAGTCATCTTGTTCTTCTGATCACACCAAGAGCACGCAACTATGCTGAGTTTTCCATTAAACAAAAATATGACATACATGTTCTTTTTTAATGTACCAACCTTTTAAGTCCAGGTAAGATCGGCGAAGGAATAAACAAACAATATTTTAAACATGTTACGTCGGCAAAGGACAAACAAACAATATTTTAAATGTGGCTTTGTATGTGATGAGCAATGTCAGTGTTTCAAACAGTATGAGACAAACATAACAATTCATAAAATGATATAACAACATGAACATGTACATGTAGCCCTGAATATTTCTCAAGAAAACATTTTTATCGGTAGAAGTGCACATATTTCAAAACCATGCATTTTCTAATACATGTATATCGTACACATTCTAAATGCACCAATGCCAAACTTGTGTTTTTAAAAACAATTTTTAACCAATCAAAAGCCGGAAAGCTTGCAATATAATGGGATATTTCATTAATCTTAAGCAACTTATGTAAAAGTGTCTGAAATTCAAAACCTTCTGGCGAATGTAAATCTAATCGTTCCACAGCTGTATAGTGATACCTGTCTAAACTGAACCCTGAGTATTCTGACATCCAATTATATCTGACATAAGCCTGTAATCCCATTTCTTATAATATCATCAAAAAGCTGCGTACTCTAACACTGTCTAATCCAAGCAATGTTTTTGAAATCCCACAGGGTTTTAGTTTGTAGCAGTTTTACAAATTCAAGGTATAACCGAATTTTCAACATTTGGTATATTGGCATTCAGATTGAAATTTCCCTAATTTGCATTATCGCTGCCATGGACTGGCTTATGGTGAGATATTGACCAAAGTCTTAACTCTTTCACCACTGTAGACCATAATGGACTCCTCCAAATCAATGTATGGTAGGGTCTACTAAAGTTACCTAGGGGTGAAAGGGTTAAGATATACACTAAAACCAGACCTTACTGACATCAAAAGGGACCAAGTCATTGAGTTGGATATGACAGTGTTTTGGTATAGAGTCAGATTAAGTGCCAGATAATCATGTTGATATTTACAGAATATTTTTAAGGATCCCTGTTCCACTGCCAGACATTGTAGCTATGCCTTAGGGACTTTTCTAACATGACTACAGCATTGATTAAATTTTAGAAAAAGAAAACCACGTCTCGCGGATCTTTTACGCGAAATAATGAAGATGCAGTCAACAACGTAACAGTGTTCTGAGTTTGAAAATGCAAACAGGGCAGGATCTGAACCCTGTACTGCTGATTATTATATTGTCGCTATTAACCACACGAGTAATACCTCGTCAACGGTGGTGATCTGGTTCAGTCACACTATAGCTATATCTAAACAATATTACCCATGAACTTTCATAATGAACTATTCCAACGTTTGAATTGGAAGAGTTCAAATGTGTCTTCGGGGTGAATGAGTTAAGGAGAGGTTACTCTATGAACAAACTACAGTGAAATTCTTTCTCCAGTGTTTTGCCTGCTGCGGGACAGGGATCCTTAAAGTTAGGTGTCAGTTAAGTCTAGCTTCATTGTACCAATATGTAACGACATCCAATTATAGTAATCCCGATTTATTATCTGCTGAGCATGGGTTAAACACAAAGAAAGCTCAATACACGAAAAAATTGCTGAGAATGAACAATGGCTAATGAAGATTTAGAACTTCGAGCATTAAAGGCTCAATTTGACTGGCATTAACTTGTAGCACAATTTTCGCATGGTCATCTCCAATTTTCTGCAACTCGTTGAATTTACGCAACAAATTTGAAAACACTATGTGCGCATGCATGTAACTGAAACTCGATTCTAGGTAATGTTTGAGCAACAAAATGTATTTGTCCTGTAAGTCTGAAACTTCGTGGCGGTGTTCAAGATTAACACCATCTGGTCTAAAGATGATCATCACCTGTAAAATAGCCATGATGTATACATCGTCCTGGGAGATAGCCTTTAGGCTACGACAATAGGAAGTGTGATCCTCGTGAAGTTGATGATGGCCGGTGGCCTGTTTCAGGACATTTGTTGGAATGCTACCTGTTGGTGTACGCCATGCGTCATTTTCTACGTCGTAGAAATTGACAGATCGCAACAGAAGAGTGTTGAGCACACATGCCTTTAGAGCTGCAATTTGATTTTCCTGACTGAGAATTTTAAAATCACTCAATAACTTCACAAACTTGATTAATCTGCGCACAGCCACTTCAGAGTTGTTGACGATATCATTAAGATTGGAGTAGTTTTCCTCCTGATTGACATGCTGCTCTACGGCATAGCTCGCTAAAGTCTCTTTGTATGCCATAGTCACGTCACTGATGAGTTTTTTCTCATTTGGGGTTAGAGTACGATAAAGAAGGGGGTCACTGGGTAACATGCTCCGATTGATAATAACATCTAGTGTCTCATTTGGGATAAGGACAGGAGCGGCCCCGGAGCCACTCACCAACAAGGGACTTTCTTCTCCCATGCCCCTAGCCTCAGCTTCATGGTTTGAAGCCTCAGGCTCAGGATCAGACATGGGCTCATCCTTTATCACCACATTGTCCATTGGGTCATTTTTCTGACCACACTGCTTCCTGGCACGATTTATCGACACTTTATTCATCCGGGCTTTTCTCTCATTTTCGTCTGTGATAACAAATAAATGATGATATCAAAACATATGGGAATACATTTTAAGATTTACAATGGAACAAAATCCTCTAACCAACTTCTTTTCCAGCAAAAGTGACAAAGTTATGACATGGCTGGATAGTGGATAACTGGATTTGTTTATATAGTAGGACAACTGGATAACTAGCAGAATTTAGCATAAATATTTTCTCAAAAACTCGGATTAGATAGTGAGACAACTGGATCAGTGATGATTGGATTAATAAGAATGGATAGTGGGACAAATACATTTGTGGTGGGTGAATTACCAGTAATAAGATTATACAGAAGGAAAACTGGATAAAAGGAGGCTGGAGAAATAAGGTTGGGAGGTGGCTGGATAGTGGGACAACTGTATTAGTAGTAGCTGGATAGTCGGACAACTGCATTAGTGGTGGCTGGAAAGTGGGACAACTGCATTAGGGGTGGCTGGGCAGTGGGACAACTGTATTAGTAATAGAGGGATAGTGGGACAACTGCATAAGTGGTGGCCGGATAGTGGGACAACTGTATTAGTTGGGGCTGGATAGTGGGACAACTGTATTAGTAATAGCTGGATAGTGGGACAACTGTATCAGTAATGGCTGGATAGTGGGATAATTGTATTAGTGGTGGCTGGATAGTGGGACAACTGTATCAGTAATGGCTGGATAGTGGGATAATTGTATTAGTGGTGGCTGGATAGTGGGGCAACTGTATTAGTAATGGCTGGGTAGGGGGACAACTGTATTAGTGGTTGCTGGATAGTGGGCCAACGGTATTAGCAGGAGCTGGATAGTGGGACAACTGTATAAGTAGTAGCTGGATAGTGGGACAACTGTATTCGTAGTAGCTGGATAGTGGGACAACTGCATAAGTTGTGGCTGGATAGTGGGACAACTGTATTTGGTGTGGCTTGATAGTGGGACAACTGTATTAGTGGTGGCTGGATAGTGGGCCAACTGTATTAGTAGTAGCTGGATAGCGGGACAACTGCATTAGTGGTGGCTGGGTAGTGGGACAACTGTATTAGTTGGAGCTTGATAGTGGGACAACTGTATTAGTAGTTGCTGGATAGTGGGACAACTGTATTTGGTGTGGCTTGATAGTGGGACAACTGTATTAGTGGTTGCTGGATAGTGGGACAACTGTATTAGCAGGAGCTGAATAGTGGGACAACTGTATTAGTAGTTGCTGGATAGTGGGACAACTGTATTAGCAGGAGCTGAATAGTGGGACAACTGTATTAGTAGTGGCTGGATAGTGGGACAACTGTATCAGTAATGGCTGGATAGTGGGATAATTGTATTAGTGGTGGCTGGATAGTGGGACCACTGTATTAGTAATAGCTGGATAGTGGGACAACTGCATTAGGGGTGGCTGGGCAGTGGGACAACTGTATTAGTAATAGCTGGATAGTGGGACAACTGTATTAGTAATAGCTGGATAGTGGGACAACTGCATAAGTGGTGGCTGGATAGTGGGACAACTGTATTAGTAATGGCTGGATAGGGGGACAACTGTATTAGTGGTGGCTGGATAGTGGGACAACTGCATTAGTAATGGCTGGGTAGTGGGGCAACTGTATTAGTAATGGCTGGATAGTGAGACAACTGTATTAGTAGTTGCTGGATAGTGGGACAACTGTATTAGTGGGGGCTGGATAGTGGGACAACTGTATTAGTGGTGGCTGGATAGTGGGGCAACTGTATTAGTAATGGCTGGATAGTGGGACAACTGTATTAATAGTGGCTGGATAGTGGGACAACTGTATTGGAGAAATAAGGTTGGGAGGGGGCTGGATAGTGGGGCAACTGTATTAGTAATGGCTGGATAGGGGGACAACTGTATTAGTGGTGGCTGGATAGGGGGACAACTGTATTAGTGGTGGCTGGATAGTGGGACAACTGCATTAGTGGTGGCTGGATAGGGGGACAACTGTATTAGTGGTGGCTGGATAGGGGGACAACTGCATTAGTGGTGGCTGGATAGTGGGACCACTGTATTAGTAATAGCTGGATAGTGGGACAACTGCATAAGTGGTGGCTGGATAGTGGGGCAACTGTATTAGTAATGGCTGGATAGGGGGACAGCTGTATTAGTAATGGCTGGGTAGTGGGGCAACTGTATTAGTAATGGCTGGATAGTGAGACAACTGTATTAGTAGTAGCTGGATAGTGGGACAACTGTATTAGTAATGGCTGGATTGTGGGACAACTGTATTAGTGGTGGCTGGATAGTGGGGCAACTGTATTAGTAATGGCTGGATAGGGGGACAGCTGTATTAGTAATGGCTGGGTAGTGGGACAACTGTATTAGTAATGGCTGGATAGAGGGACAACTGTATTAGTAGTGGCTGGATTGTGGGACAACTGTATTAGTGGTGGCTGGGTAGTGGGGCAACTGTATTAGTAATGGCTGGATAGGGGGACAACTGTATTAGTGGTGGCTGGATAGGGGGACAACTGCATTAGTGGTGGCTGGAAAGTGGGACAACTGCATTAGGGGTGGCTGGGCAGTGGGACAACTGTATTAGTAATAGCTGGGTAGTGGGACAACTGCATTAGTGGTGGCTGGGTAGTGGGACAACTGTATTAGTGGGGGCTGGATAGTGGGGCAACTGTATTAGTAATGGCTGGATAGTGGGGCAACTGTATTAGTAATGGCTGGATAGTGGGACAACTGTATTAGTAATGGCTGGATAGTGGGATAATTGTATTAGTGGTGGCTGGATAGTGGGACAACTGTATTAGTAATGGCTGGATAGTTGGACAACTGTATTAGTAATGGCTGGATAGTGGGATAATTGTATTAGTAGTGGCTGGATAGTGGGACAACTGTATTAGTGGTGGCTGAATAGTGGGACAACTGTATTAGTAATGGCTGGATAGTGGGATAATTGTATTAGTAGTGGCTGGATAGTGGGACAACTGTATTAGTAGTAGCTGGATAGTGGGACAACTGCATTAGTGGTGGCTGGATAGTGGGACAACTGCATTAGTGGTGGCTGGATAGTGGGACAACTGTATTTGGTGTGGCTTGATAGTGGGACAACTGTATTTATTGGTGGCTTGACAATGAGGTTGGATAGATGGACAATGGTTTTAGTGGTTGCTGGATTAACAAGTCTTTACTAAACCTTAAAACTTAGTAGTACATAATATTACAGTATACTCATACATTATGAAACAAAAGGCATACCGATATGTTTATCATAGGTGTGGAAACAGAAGCTCATTGACTGATCAATATATTTTTTTTTCTATTTTATGTCATTGTCAACAGAGCTACAGTATCCAACCTATTAAAACTTCTGATTCAATGACCAAAGGCTGGTAGGCCCGACTCTGTACCCAATCTGGTGGTCGGGTGGCACAGTGGATAGTGTACTTGCCTTTTACCAAGGCAGCCGGGGTTCAATTCCCCGATCGGAAGTGAAAAGGTATGGGGTCGCCTGCCCGACCACATGGGTTTTCTCCGGGTACTCTGGTTTCCTCCCACAGTAAGACCCCCCTCGCTCTAACATCCGGGCCAACAAGAGTGATTAGTATAAGTTGTAAAAACTTGTTTCATAATTGTAGTAAAATAAACAAGAGGCCGGGCGGCCCGGCCATGGGCCTTAACGGTCACCTGATATATTTATACAGAGAGTTGATTTTGTTTTTAACATTAACAGAAATATTATTCAAAGTGACAAAAAATAA